CCCCCTCGGCATCGCAGACACCGCCCCCCTCGGCATCGCAGACACCATTGTTTCTGGTTTGTTTCTGGAACACATCTCTTGAAAGATCCATGAATGTGTTTAGATGAAGTGGAGGGTCTTGCTGAGCTGCTTGCTTTTGAAACTGCCTTTATCATAGAGAGTGCTTCCCGTCTCTTTCAGAGCCCAATGACGAGAGCGGCGCCAACGTGGATGCTTCCAAAATGTGGCGGGACGACCGAGAGCAGTTTTATAAGATCGCCAAGCAGATCGTACAGAAGTCCCTGGGGCTCTGAGCCTGACAGGACACGCATGCGCACAGCCAGGGCGCCCGCGTGCGTGCCTACGCCACCACCAGACGGACTTCGTATTTCTCCTCCGGGGACACCCGCGACAGTGACACTGTGCTAGCACCAAGAAAGGCAAACTCTAGAATCACAGCGTCTGTTTTACTTCCCACCTCTCCCACCCCAGGCAGGCTTCTCTGCTTCGATTGTGATTTATGTAGAGTGATGACGGCTCCCTGCCATCGTACAGTATTGCTCTCAAAGGTGGTGCCGGCCGATTGTCAAAGCTGTCAGCACTACCTCTCCCCACCGAAGCGCCGCCGATCCCCGCAGCTAATGACCCCTCAGAGCGCGGGGCTCCTGGGGCCCCTTCCCCTCGCGCGGTGTCGAGGGCTCCGTGCCAAACTCTCAGTGGGCTAGAGTCGGTAATGCTCCTTCCGAAGAAATGGCCCTTGTAGCAAAGGCAGGGGAGGGGCTGGGCCGCTCTGAGCGGGCCACACCTGCCTGCAGGTACCGCGCGAGGAGCACAGAGCATCGTTTCATTACTTCATATTTTACAGGCAGATGTTTTTCTTATAATCTGGGTAAACCATTTTCTTTCGTTGTGTATTAGAAACCATCACGCTCAAATACTTTCAGGAAATAAACACTTTTTAAAAATGTGGATTAATGAAAAGCGGGTTGCATAGAAGAGAAGCTTACTGCTGGCCGTAAGGACCGGCAGTTCTTTTCTGACCCTTTTATGAAACGTGTATTCTTAGGTTTGGCTAGTAGGGAATTACTAGAGCAGGCACCAGTGACATGCAGGATTCTAGGGAACATTTCTTCTGGGTCGACAGGAGCTTTTATTTTCCAATCTAAACACTGGGCAGTTGTAAGGTTTTGCACATTGTGGTTGCACCAGGAGCTGTAAGGATCGGGACAAAGTCACTCTCCACCCCTCGGGTTGCAGGGTCTCTGCCATCAGGGTGGAGCACAGTGGCGGGCCTTACTGTGACCGCGGTTGTGGAAGGTGGCCCCGGGGTCCCAGCCCAGGGGCCAGCGCACTGGTTATAGTTCCTGATGTGCACGGGGCCTGGCAGTCTGAGCTCCCGGTGTCCTCTGTGCCTGGGGCCACTCTCAGCAATAATGGTCTGTCTCCTGCAGGCCCTCGTGCTCGGCCTCCTGCACAGGCTGCATACAATAGGAATTTTTTTTTTTGAAATATGGGTGTTCTACAAGACACACAGTAGATTTCACTGCCCATCATCCTCTCCCTTCCCTCCCACAGCGTACCCAGTGGCAGTGTTCTGCTTTCCTGAGACCACACACACAGTTTCACGGTGTTAACAGTTACTGGTTGAAGGAGCCCCATATTGGGCTGCGGAAACCAGGTTGTTTCTTTCTCAGAAGGGAGTTGGAGATCTGAAGTTCAGTACAATGTTTGAGAGGGTAAGGAAGGACAGGTATTGTTCCTAGATGGTGTTTGCAGAAATGTGAGATGAGATATAGTAGCCTTTTCGGAAAGAGCGCAGCAGTGGTTGTGCTGGTAGACCAGGTGCGGCCGTGGGGGCTGCGTCAGGGGTGGGTCTCCACAGGGTACCCACCAGGCTTCTGAGAAATTAGGACAGGAGAGCAGCAGTCTCCTTGCAAAACAAAGTATTTTTGTTTGTATTTATTAAATGGAGAAAAAAAATCTGAATCCCATGGTATCCTTATTCTGTGGTGGAATTTAATTACAATGTTAGAAATAAAGCTATATATTTTCCCCCTGTTCTGAAGTGGTGTGTTCTTTGTCAGATTTTTATATAAGCAGACGAAGAGGAAGGCCACTGGCTGTTGGGGAGTAACTGGAGACCTGCTGCAGTGGGCCCCTGGGACCTGGGACCTGGGACCACGGCACCAGGGCTCCAGAGCGAGCATTGGTTTCAGTATTTCATACTGAGTGCCACTTAGTTCTGAAGACTCGTGCTCACTTTGGAAAATTCTGTCCTCTTCATTCATTTCTTCTCTTTTCTGTCTGTCTGGGATTCTGAGGGTTTCTTGATTGGAGGTCTGTGACAGGATTCAGGGGGAAATAAATTACATTTTCAATAACCTCTGATTGACATCTAGCATTTCCTTCTGTCATAATGCGGGCAATGAAGAACAGTCACACAGGTGACACTTGTGACTTGTCACTGCGGAAATCCACGGAATGTTCAAATCACACTTCTCAAAATACAGTTTGTCTTCATCACTGCTTTGCAATCACACCTGTTACTGGACCTGCTTCTAGATCTTGCCATTTAATTGTTGATAGAGAGGTACAGATGTTCCTGTTTCACACGTACGCTTTTACTGTTTTGGGAATGGTGTCATTGGTTGTCCTTTGCAGTCCCCCCCACATGCGGGGCCCCTTCACACACAGCAGCCCTGGCGCCCTCCACTGCACAAGCTGGGGCCTTGTCTCCCAATTCCTCCCAGGCTCTCCGGCTCCTCCTGCGCTGTGGGTGCTGGGAGGACACCTCGCCTCTGAGTGCCAAGCTGTTCTCTTCCAGCAGCGTACACGCTGCCGTTTGTTGAATGTTTTGCCATAATCACATTATACTCTTTAATATCTAAAAACTCTAATGTGAGATTGTCGGCCCCCCCACCCCCGCCACCACCCCCAGGTTTGATGATCTGCAAGGAGGACTCACAGGACTCAGCATATAGTTATGCTCATGGCGTGAGTTATTACAGCAGGAGGACAGAGCAAAGTCAGCAAAAGGAAAAGGCCCACGGGGTGAAGCCTGGGGGACGCCAGGGACAAGCTTCCAGAGTCCTCTCCCACTGGAGTCAGACAGGACACACGGAGTTCCTCTGGCAATGAGTTGTGCTAACACGCACGAAGTGTCATCTCCCAGGACTTTTATTGGAGGTTGGTCGTGTAGGCACGCCCTGCCTAGCGTGTACCAAAATTCCCAACCCCAGAAGGCAGGCGGGTGTAGCATAAACCACACCGCACAGTCAGTCTCACTTGTCCATCCGTGGTGAGGACTCTCCCAAAATCCAAGTTCCCAGATGCCAGCCGAGGGCCACTTTGCAGGCAGGCCTTGTCAGGGATGAGAGCTTAGGCTTGTTGTGATAACTTTTTTTGCACAGAATTTTACCCCTTTGGGGATTTTAATTAGATATCTTTAACAGTTTTTTGTTTGCTGTATTATGTTTCTGCAGCTTTTCATTTTTTATTGAGTTTGGTGCCCTCCCCCTCCTCCCTGGTATTGGTTTTCTGCAAATGGCTGGTGTGTTTTGGTTTAACATCTGCCCTTGGTTCTGAGATTTTCTGTTTGCCAGCCTGGTTCTGGGAACGACGCTGGGGTGAACAGTGTTGCTGGAGTGGTGAGGGGAGGTTTCTGGAATTGTTTTCTCGTATGGGAGCTTCGCACCCTTCCTAGAGGGGTTGGTAGTCCCGCTCGTTGCGTTAGCCTGGGGACAGCCTTGCCTGGCGCCTGCTGCTTGGCCCAGGGACAGGAGAAGTGTCCCATCCACACTAGGTGGCCTGGCCCCTGGCTCCCTCTGGGCTCTTGAATGGGCTGACTTGGAACATGGCGCTCCCCAGAGCAGTTTTTTCCTTGCTTGTTTTGGTCTGTGGCTTCTTTAAGTTTGGTGTCTGCGGATTAGATTACTTGCTGATTTTTCCCAGACATATAGTGGGTCTGATGCATTCTTTTCTTGTGGGTCAGAATTCCTTCATAGAATTCACAATCCACTCTAGTTTAGACTGAAACGGAATGGCCGGGATGGCCCTCTGGAGCCTCCATGTGCCCTGGACACCCCCCAAGTCATGGCTGGACGCCAGGACAGCAATGGCCGCTGCTGTGCACACACGTCTGCACCGCTGTGCACGCTTCCCTCCTCCCCCCATCTCGGGCAGGTGTGTGTGTGGGCACCTGGCCACGTTAGACAGCCTGGGAAGCGTGCTCTGGAGGTTCTGCTTGGGGATGAGGAGGAGAAGGTTGACATAATTTGGCGTGGCCACAAAGGGCAGAGGCGGTGCAACCATGTGGTTCCTGATTGATTCTTAACAGTCCTGTCGGTAGGGGAGATCTGTCCCTGAGTGTCTTTCTGTCCCTGAGAGTCTCTGAGTATCTCTCCCTATTCCTGAGTCTGAGTGTGTCTCTCTGTCTCTGAGCATCTCCATGTCTCAGAGTGTCTCTGAGCATCTCTGTCCCTGAGTAAGTAGTATCTCTGAGCATCTGTATATCTGAGCATCTCTCTGTCTCTGAGTGTCTCTGTCTGATGTGTGTCCCTGGTCACCAGAGTTCTGGGGGTCCGGCTGGGACCCACAGATGCATGTGTCTTGAAGCCTTCTTGCTCCCGTGTCTCCCTCGGAGAAGAGGACTGTGGAGCCTAGAAGGTCTCTCTCCTTCCTTCCTGCTTCCTCTGGTGTCATGGAGCTGGGGCAGGTGAGGCCGGCAGCAGGGGAGCCCTTCTGGCACCTTCCTTAGGCTGGCTTCCTCTCTTGGAGGTTTGGGGACTTGCTGGCTGACCGAGGCTGCTCGACTGGGCAGCGGGCTGGTGGGAGTTGGTTCCAGGGGAAGCAGAGGCGTGGGGAGTGGGGTCTCCCCAAAGCAGTAGGGGCTATACTGGCCGTCTCAGAGCCCAGCAACCCATCCCTCCCCACCGACTCCCTGTGCCTGCCAGCCCAGGGCTCGCTTGAGCCCCTGGTTGTGTTCGCTGCCTCTACCTTGGAGATGTGGGGTGAGCATGTCTACCTGGCGCCCGCAAATGCTCACAGGGCCCATCCCCCACGGTGTCCCTCAGGCTGGCATGACTGCCCCATATCCTGGCAGTGCCCCCGGGCTGAAACACACCCAGACAGGCCAAGTGACCCCCTGGGAGGGTGGAACCAACTGCCAGGGCCAAGCCCTGCCCCTCACCAGCCCCTTTGGGCTCCAGCCAGCTTCCACGAGCATGCCCTGGGCCAGGCCCTGTTGTGTGGGGCCGCAGACCCAGATGCTGCGTGTGGCACCACTGGGGCTGTGAGGGAGGCCATGCCAAGTAGGGGGTACAGCTGTGCCTTTGTGGGACAGCAGGGCGGAGGGGGGGCGCAGGGAAGCTGGGCCTGGAAGGATCTGGAAGGAATAACAGGGTGCATGTGCTGGGCAGAGGCTGCGATACCAGCTCAGGTGTGCAGCCCTGCTGCTCCCGGCGGCCGAGGGTGAGGTGGTGGGACTGGCGTCTCAGAAAGCCGGCACCGACCAATCTGTAGAACGGGGATGCTGGCAGGCAGACCTCAGCCCGCGGCGTCCTCTGAGGATTAAAGGCCACGTGTGCCAAGTGCTCAGAACCCTGACGGGCCAGGAAGGGTGCCGCTCGCACAAGTGCTCCTGCAGCTTCGCGGCGCAGGAGGCCCTGCCCTGTCCCAGGCCACCCTGGTCTGATTCCTGTGAGGAGCTCCTGGATCACCCTCCCAGCCAGCACATGTCTGAACTGTAGTTGGTCGCTGTCCTCGCCCCATCAGCCCCAGGGTGACTGCGGGTGGGCAGGAAGGGGACGTGGAGCTACCTCCTGGGCAAGGCCACCCCAGACCGCCTTTGGAGCAGTTAGCGAATGAGGCCCAGGACGGGCAGCACCGCTGCGCCCAGCGCACCTCCCTCAGCCTGTCCTAGAAGTGCTCCTCCGCGGGTGTGGGTGGGTGGAGTCCGTCCCGGGCCGCTGGCCGAGTGGCTCTGGACCCAACACTTCCAGGAAATCACCCGGAGAAGCCTGGTGGGCCCAGCTGCTCAGCCCCCACTCCAAAGCGTGGACTCTGCTGGGCGGTCCCCATCTCCTGCCTTCCCTCCTGGAGGGAAGTTTCGGACCTGGAGCAAGTTCCCACGTCGTCCATCAGCCTGGGTGGCAGGTGCTTGGGCCTGCCCCCTGGGTGCTGTGGTGACCACCCAGTCCCCACAGCGGCCCCGAGTGTGCCAGCCTGTCCCCAGTATCAGCTCTCTGCCCCGACTCTGTCCTGCTGGCTCCTGTGTGCCCCCAGGTTGGTGGAGAGAGGGTGGGAACGGCTGAACGGGTTCCTTTCAAGTCGTGTGCGTGCGTGCGTGTGCCCGTGTTTTTAACTCTGGCAGAGGGTCAGACGCTGGAGCCAATTCCGATGGAAACAGGAGACGTGGAGGAACTGTCTTTTGCTAATGGCTCTTTGAGACCCTGGATCATGCAATGAGTGGGCTGGAACCACGTAAAACAGCTGCAGCTTCAGGGCGGCACAGGCCTGGGGGTGCTCACTGGGTTCTCCCTCACGGGCCGGTTCCGACCCGGTAGAACTGCCAAGCAGAGGAATGAGGTAGCAGCCCCAGCCCAAACCCCCAGGTGCGGGTATTCCACTGGCCAGATCTCAGGGTGCCACGGCATGGAGCAGGTTCCCGGCCATGGTCAAGACCCACCTGCACAGATGCACACACACGTGTGCACAGACGTGCACACGTGCTCACTTGTGTACAGTGCTCACATACACGCGTACACTTGTACACACATAAACGTGTGTACAATGCTCGCGTGTGCAGACAGACGCACGCGTGCCGTTCAGATGTACATTAGCACACTCGTGCACACATGCTCACGTGTACAATGTTCACCCATGCTTACAGTGCACAACAGACATTCAAATGTACGTGTACATACACTCACCCAGGTACACGCGCATGTACACACACCTGTGCTTACACACACGTGCACACACTCACACATACACGCACAACCACTCCTCCCAGGCAAGAAGCCCCTGTGGCTTTTGGAGCTGGTCGAGTGGCAGCTCTGATCCCATGGCCCGCCTCCTCCCGAGG